ATTTTACATCTGGTCCACATATGAATTATTAACATTTGGGCCAAATACTACATTTTACATCTGGCCCAGATATCAGTTATTACCATTTGGGCCAAATACTACTGTTTACATCTGTCCCATATATTAATTATTACCATCTGGGCCAAATACTACATTTTACATCTGTCCCATATATTAATTATTACCATCTGGGCCAAATACTACATTTTACATCTGTCCCATATATTAATTATTACCATCTGGGCCAAATACTACAGTTTACATCTGGCCCACATATAAATTATTACCATCTGGGCCAAATACTACATTTTACATCTGTCCCATATATTAATTATTGCCATCTGGGCCAAATACTACATTTTACATCTGTCCCATATATTAATTATTGCCATCTGGGCCAAATACTACAGTTTACATCTGGCCCACATATAAATTATTACCATCTGGGCCAAATATTACATTTTACATCTGTCCCATATATTAATTATTACCATCTGGGCCAAATACTACATTTTACATCTGTCCCATATATTAATTATTGCCATCTGGGCCAAATACTACATTTTACATCTGTCCCATATATTAATTATTGCCATCTGGGCCAAATACTACATTTTACATCTGTCCCATATATTAATTATTGCCATCTGGGCCAAATACTACAGTTTACATCTGGCCCACATATAAATTATTACCATCTGGGCCAAATATTACATTTTACAACTGTCCAATATATTAATTATTACCATCTGGGCCAAATACTACATTTTACATCTGGCCCACATATTAATTATTACCATCTGGGCCAAATATTACATTTTACATCTGTCCCATATATTAATTATTGCCATCTGGGCCAAATACTACATTTTACATCCGTCCCATATATTAATTATTGCCATCTGGGCCAAATATTACATTTTACATCTGTCCCATATATTAATTATTGCCATCTGGGCCAAATACTACATTTTACATCTGTCCCACATATTAATTATTGCCATCTGGGCCAAATACTACATTTTACATCTGTCCCATATATTAGTTATTGCCATCTGGGCCAAATACTACATTTTACATCTGTCCCATATATTAATTATTGCCATCTGGGCCAAATACTACAGTTTACATCTGGCCCACATATAAATTATTACCATCTGGGCCAAATATTACATTTTACAACTGTCCAATATATTAATTATTACCATCTGGGCCAAATACTACATTTTACATCTGGCCCATGTATTAATTATTACCATCTGGGCCAAATACTTCATTTTACATCTGGCCCACATATTAATTATTACCATCTGGGCCAAATACTACATTTTACAACTGTCCAATATATTAATTATTACCATCTGGGCCAAATACTACATTTTACATCTGGCCCACATATTAATTATTACCATCTGGGCCAAATACTTCATTTTACATCTGGCCCACATATTAATTATTACCATCTGGGCCAAATATTACAGTTTACAACTGTCCAATATATTAATTATTACCATCTGGGCCAAATACTATATTTTACATCTGGCCCACATATTAATTATTACCATCTGGGCCAAATACTACATTTTACATCTGGCCCACATATTAATTATTACCATCTGGGCCAAATATTACATTTTACAACTGTCCAATATATTAATTATTACCATCTGGGCCAAATACTACATTTTACATCTGGCCCACATATTAATTATTACCATCTGGGCCAAATATTACATTTTACAACTGTCCAATATATTAATTATTACCATCTGGGCCAAATACTACATTTTACATCTGGCCCATGTATTAATTATTACCATCTGGGCCAAATACTACATTTTACATCTGGCCCACATATTAATTATTACCATCTGGGCCAAATACTTCATTTTACATCTGGCCCACATATTAATTATTACCATCTGGGCCAAATATTACAGTTTACAACTGTCCAATATATTAATTATTACCATCTGGGCCAAATACTACATTTTACATCTGGCCCACATATTAATTATTACCATCTGGGCCAAATACTACATTTTACATCTGGCCCACATATTAATTATTACCATCTGAGCCAAATATTACATTTCTGGGACCAAATACTACAATTTACTTCTGGCCCAAGTATTGTGTGCCGCCTTAAGGACGATGCCATCTCTACCAAACCAGGGCCATTTTTGGCCCACATGCTTTATGCCAGTGCGGATGAATGCCTGCTGTGCCAGATTTATGCCAAATCTGGGCCAGAATTCTCTGAATTCTCAGAGTCCTTCCTAAAAAATCAGCATATGTTATAAACATGTATTACAAAAAAAATTAGCCTTTTTTGTGCATTTTTGTGGTCGTGACTTTATAAAATATGATGGCAGACATCTTAATTCTGTAAAAGATCAGCTAAATGGATTCAAACATGGTCAAACTAAGCTATTTAACTCTAGCTGAGCTGTAAAATGAGCCTGTTTAGTAATAAAAAAAAGCTGTGTTCCTATCAGGCGGATCATAAATGCTTTTCTCTTAATGAAGCAAGAGTTAAAATCGAATTAATAAAAGTTTCACTGGTCCTGGTTTTCACCAAGCAGAACTGAACACAGAGCCGGGTCACGTGCTTCACGTTAGCCTTTTTTATTTTGAAGTAAGCTGCACATTAATCAGAGAATGAGCTCGAGCTGCTGCCGTGATCTGGAGAGTTTTGTTTGTGTCGTCTCCCACAACTCTTTCAGCGCACATCTGGCTTTTACAGGAATGTTCTCTCCATGTGAAAGTGGTTTACCCGACAGATAAACACACCGCGCGCACACACACACATGCTCACTGGTCATAGACACACACACACAGTCTCTCTCTCTTCTCAGGAGCTCAGCAAAGTATTAGCTGAAGAACTCTTGTCGCATATATAGAAATCTGATGTATGGCAATGTATTCAAATTACATACGGTATATGACATGTCATATATGCAACAAATAAGGCTATATATGATCATATATGGTTAAAGTCTGAAGTATTACCTCCTCTGGATATATTTTTTGCTCAATTTCTGGTTGGTGGAGAGCAGAATGTTGTTCAAAACATTTGTAAACAATAATAACTCATAACGTAAACATAACGTTTTAATAACTCATCTCTAATAACTCATTTGTTTTCTCTTTGTCATGATGACAGCACATAATATTAGACTAGATATTCTTCAAGACACTAGTATTCAGCTTAAAGTGACATTTAAAGGCTTCACTAGGGTAATTAGGGTAAAGTTAGGGTAATTAGGCAAGTCATTGTATAACAGTGGTTTGTTCTGGAGACAATCCAACACTAAAATTGCTGAAGGGGGATAATCATATATCATAATTGGCTTCATCACTCTGTCTCCCCTCCACCAATCAGCTGGTGTGTGGTGTGCGGTCTGGCTGCCGTCTCATCATCCAGGTGGATGCCGCACACTGGTGGTGGATGAGAGGATTCCCCCCCATTGTGTAAAGCACTTTGAGTGTCCAGAAAAGCGCTGTATAAATGTAAGGAATTATTATTATTATTATTATTATTACTATTATTACTTTTATTATTATTATATTGACCCTAAAATGGCTTTAAAACAATTAAAAACTGCTTTTATTCTAGCCTAAATAAAACAAAATTTATTATAATATTATAGAAAATACTGTTAAAAATTATTGTGAAAAATTTTTAATAAAAATTAAATATTAGATAATAAAATATTTTCTATCTTACAATTATTAATGACTAATATCTTGCAAAATATAAAAATGAGAAAAGTTTTATTACAATATATTATTTAATAAAAATATTTATATATTTTGTTTATTTATCTCAAAAACATAGATTATACTGATTATTAAAATACTGTCAGCAAGTTATTTGAGCAGACTTTGTTTTTTCCAGTAAGCATTTTCGGTTGATAATAAAAATAATAATAAATAATAATAATAATAATAATTGTGCGTTTTATTTGTATTGTGCTTATCTAAATTCCAAATCACTACAATAGAAGATATTAAACGCATAAAATAAGAATAAAAACGTTCTAAATACAGAAACAGTACACAACAAACTATCGCTTCAGTAAATATGTCTTAATCGACATTTTAACTTGATCCAACGTTGGTGTTTTTTTTTTCAGATATTCCATAATGCATGCATATATAAGCATAGGTGTACACGAGTGGAATATCCACAGAGCCGAACACTGAGCTATTTTGACCTTTGACTGTTGCATTGGGTCGGCACAGCAACAAACAAACACTCATTAAAATGAATGGGTTTCATAGCGCAGTGCTTTCTACCTCCATTGTGAAAGACAATTTACTCTGCTTGTATATTATATATGTGTAAACAAATACAAAACATGGCTTCAGTGTAAACAAACATGGCCGTAGTGTAAGCAAACATGGCTTCAGTGTAAACAAATATGGCTGCAGTGTAAACAAACATGACCGTAGTTTTAACAAACATGACCGTAGTGTTAACAAACATGGCTTCAGTGTAAACAAATATGGCTTCAGTGTAAACAAATATAGCAGCAGTGTAAACAAAAATGGCTTCAGCATAAACAAATATGGCTTCAGTGTAAACAAATATAGCAGCAGTTTAAACAAACATGGCTGCAGTGTAAACAAATATGACTTGTGTAAGCAAATATGGCTGCAGTGTAAACAAATGTGGCTGCAGTGTAAACAAATATGGCTGCAGTGTAAACAAACATGGCTGCTGTCTAAACAAACATGGCTGCAGTGTAAACAAATATGGCAGCAGTGTAAACAAACATGGCTGCATTGTTAAGAAACATGGCCGCAGTGTAAACAAACGTGACTTCAGTGTAAACAAACATGGCTGCTGTCTAAACAAACATGGCTGCAGTGTAAACAAATATGGCTGCAGTGTAAACAAACATGACTTCAGTTTGTTCTCCATATTGAATTGCATGTTAGTGAAGTGTGTTGTGTGATGGTTGTGTGTGTGTGTGTGTTGTGTGTTTCTGCAGTGCTGAACCAGCAGGCGCACCAGCAGCAGCAGCAGCACCTCCAGCAGCAGCAGCAGCAGGTCCCAGTGCAAGTCCCGGTGCAGGCCCCTCAGCAGCAGAGCTCTCAGCCCATGATGAACCTGAGCGCGCAGCAGCACCAGCAGAAGATGAGGCTCCAGCGCATCCAGATGGAGAGAGAGCGCATCCAGAGGAGACAGGAGGAGCTCATGCGACAGGTGAATGCACTACATACAACACACATGCAGTGGGGGAAATATGTGTTGAACACATCATCATTTTTCTCAACGCATATTTCTAAAGGTGCTGTTGACTTGATATGTTCACCAAATGTTGTCAATTCATATATGCGAAGAAAACAAAAGTAATTAGTTTACAAATGAAGTTAAAATGAAATGATGCAGAGAAACAGTATTGAACACATGAAGAAAGGAAGGTGTAGAAAGACATGGAAAGCCCAGACAGCAGCTGAAATCTCTCAGTAGTTCTTCAGCAAGCCTCTGCCCTTCCTCAGTGTAAATGAACATCAGCTGCTTCAGTCCAACATCTACATTAGCAGGAGGATGAAGATGAACCCAGGGTGGACATTTCAGCAAGACAATAAGCCAAAACACAGCTGAGGAGACTCTCAGATGCTTTCAGAGAAAGAAAATCAAGCTGCAGAATGGCCCAGCCAATCACCTGATCTCAATCCAATAGAAAATACAAGATAAAGCTCAGATTTGATAGACGAGACCCACAGAACCATCAAGATTTTGACACTCTGTTGAAGTCTGTAAGAAACTTCAGGTACGTCGCGGGGAAACTCGCCCCCAACCGCTCTTCAGATACGTCGTGCGCAACTCCTCGCCCCCAACCGCTCTTCAGATACATCGCACGCACACGCCCCCACCGCACCATTATAATTGAGTGTGAATGGGTGTTTCCCAGTGCTGGGTTGCAGCTGGAAGGGCATCCGCTGTGTAACACATATGCTGGAATAGTTGGCGGGTCATTCCGCTGTGGCGACCCCTGATAATTAAGGGACTAAGCTGAAGGAAGATGAATGATTATTATGTTTAAAATCATTTCATAATGTATATCACGTTGTTTATTTCTAGTAATGCTGGTAAACTCAAACAAAATGTTGCATTGGCACAAATGTAAATAATTAACTAAGAATAAATGACTTGCTAAACTAACTGAAAACTGCACATTTGAAATAAGATAACGTTCTTTAACATCTTTTGTCTCTCTATTAAATATAATATGTAAATATGCCAATAAGAAGTGTTTGTTCCCAAAAGGGAGACGTAGAGCTGAAATAAATGAGTTCCAGCACATAGGCCAGTTTTAACAACGCGTGTTTCACTGTGGCGCCCCCTGCTGGTGCTGATGTTCAGCAGCATAAATCAGCGATTGAGAAAGACCTCACACAGAAAGTGTTTATCTTCTGCCTCTCTGACTCTCTGCTGACTCCATTAACTCCGCTTGTGATGATGGACGTGTTTTTATGCCAGAGCACATGCTGTTTGCGCACCGAGACTGAAAAAGGAGGTTAAAAAGATGATTCAGCTGCTGGTTTCTGCTGCTGGATGTCCTGGATTGTTGTCATGCAGCTGTTTCTGTGAACACACTCCACCCTCTAGCTCACATGCTCACAGACACACTCACATATATATATATATATACAGCTGAATCAGAATTATTAGCCCTCCTGAACTCCATGATGACAGCACATAATATTAGACTATATATTCTTCAAGACACTAGTGTTCAGCTTACAGTGACATTTAAAGGCTTCACTAGGGTAATTAGGGTAAAGTTAGGGTAATTAGGCAAGTCATTGTATAACAGTGGTTTGTTCTGGAGACAATCCAACACTAATATTGCTGAAGGGGGCTAACAGTATTCACGTAAAAATGGGTTTAAAACTGTTAGGTAGTGCTTTTATTCTAGACGAAATTAAACAAATAAGACTTTCTGTAGAAGAAAAAATATGATAGGAAAAATTCCTGAATCTGTTCAACATCATTTGGGAAATATTTGAAAAAATACATAAGTAAATTCACAGCAGGGTGAATAATTTTGGACATCAACTGTATATGACACTGGGAATAGTCAAAAATACAATGTTTGTCTCCTTAGTAAATTAAGCAACCCCGGCTCATTGTGGAAATGTAGCCCCGCGGACGTTTCTGCGGACCGTGAGATACGTCCCGGGAGGTACGTATTCGAGCGTTTTTTGTTTTCGCGGATCCGCGAGAGCCTGCTGTGCACGCTTTTTCGCATCTAGGGCGCCTCTCGGGAGTGCGCGCCGTTCGCGCCCGCACTGTTCTCGCGCGAAAAGCCGCTGGATCGGCTGACCCTACCGCCCATCCTCTTCCTCCTCCTCCTTCCCTAAACCCGAGCGACGGTTTGCAAAAGCTGTCCAGAAAAACAAACAAACAAACAAAAAAAGCAAAAGCCCTCGTCTTCGATTTCGACCGCGTTTTCGGATCCCGCCGCGTTCTCGCTCTTATTTTTCGGATTTCGTTTTTCATCTTACCTGATTTCTGGAACCGCTGTTCCCCGGACTCGATCCCGGTCGTCGTCCCCGCGGTCGGCTCCTCCTCCTCCGGGACCTCCGCTCCGCAGACGCAACGCTGTGAGCTAAGCGGACAAACTGGTTGCATCGGGAAAGCCCTCCACTCGGAGGCGAGCCGTCGGCTGGCGAGCGCGAAGAGGAGGAGCAGAGCGGCGCCACACCGCCCCGTAGCGTTCGCTCGAAAAAACCTAAATGCGTCCGTACGTACCTCCGGCCACGTAAATCGCGGTCTCCAGAAACGTCCGCGGGGCTACGTTTCCAGAATGAGCTTGGGTTGAAATTAAGTCATTCATAAATATATCTAAAATTTATTTTTTATTAGTAATATGCATTGCTGGGAAGTTGAACCTTGTGTGGACAACTTTCAGAGGGATTGTCTGAATATATTGATTGTGTAGATTGCGTCTCAGGTAGATAATATCCAATCATAACAAACCATACTTAGAGTATTTAGCCTATTTATCAAAACCTAGTTAGTGGTTTGACCGTTTATTGTCATTTGTTGTGTCAAATGAAATAAAAGACTTTACTTCCACACGAGCACAATAAGACCTAAGATGTATAAAGTACTAGGGACCCAGACTTAATAAAAGTACAAGAGCTGATCCAGCTGTGGTGATTGGGGTTACAGTGTGTGTGTGTGTTTCTCCAGGAGGTGGCGCTCCGGCAGCTCCCCATGGACTCTGATAATCTGCCGCCAGTGGCTCCAGCCATCGGCTCTCCAGCGATGAGTGCGGGAAACATGCCCAATAACAGCGCAGACCCCTTCCTCAACAGGCAAGAGTCCAATACACTGATACAAATGTGTATTATGGTTGGGGTTAGGGCTATGGTTAGGCCATAAACACTACCATTAACCCTATAAAAAAGTGTTTGTGACATATCAGGACACAAATGTGTATTATGGTTGAGGTTAGGGCTATGGGTAGGCCATAAACACTATCATTAACCCTATATAACAGTGTTTGAGACATATCAGGACACAAGTGTGTATTATGGTTAGGGTTAGGGCTATGGTTAGGCCATAGACACTGTTATTAACCTTACATAAACATGTTTAAGACATATCAGGACACAAATGTGTATTATGGTTAGGGTTAGGGCTATGGTTAGGCCATAGACACTATCATTAACCCTATATAAAAGTGTTTGAGATATACAGTATCAGGACATAAGTGTGTATTATGGTTAAGGTTAGGGCTATGGTTAGGCCATAAACACTAGCATTAATCTTATATGAAAGTATTTGAGACATATCAGGACACAAATGTCTATTATGGTTAGGATTAGGGCTGTAGGTAGGCCATTGATAATATCTTTAGCCAGATATAAACTTGTTTATGACATATCAGGACACAATGTATTATGGTTGGGGTCAGGGCTATGGTTAGGCCATAGACACTGTTATTAACCTTACATAAACATGTTTAAGACATATCAGGACACAAATGTGTATTATGGTTAGGGTTAGGGCTATGGTTAGGCCATAGACACTATCATTAACCCTATATAAAAGTGTTTGAGATATACAGTATCAGGACATAAGTGTGTATTATGGTTAAGGTTAGGGCTATGGTTAGGCCATAAACACTATCATTAATTTTATATAAAAGTATTTGAGACATATCAGGACACAAATGTCTATTATGGTTAGGATTAGGGCTGTAGGTAGGCCATTGATAATATCTTTAGCCAGATATAAACTTGTTTATGACATATCAGGACACAAGTGTGTATTATGGTTGGGGTCAGGGCTATGGTTAGGCCATAGACACTGTTATTAACCTTACATAAACATGTTTAAGACATATCAGGACACAAATGTGTATTAGGGTTAGGGTTAGGGCTATGGTTAGGCCATTGACACTATCATTAACCCTCTATAAAAGTGTTTGAGACATACAGTATCAGGACATAAGTGTGTATTATGGTTAAGGTTAGGGCTATGGTTAGGCCATAAACACTATCATTAATCTTATATGAAAGTATTTGAGACATATCAGGACACAAATGTGTATTATGATTGTGGATAAGGTTATAAAAGTGTTTGTGACAAATATTATTATTATTATTATTGTATTATTGAAGAAGGTGAATCATAAGGACATTGCCGATGTCCCCAAAAGTATATAAATCACACAGAATGAGGAAACTACACACAGTTTCCTGTCAGAGGCAGGGTTAGGTGTAATGTTGGGGGAGGGGGGTAGAAAATACAGTTTGTACAGTTTAAAAGCGATGGATACCTAAGGATTATGTTCATCAACTTTGGTGTGTGTGTGTTTGTGTGTGTGTGTGCAGTGGGCCGTATCACTCGCGGGAGCAGAGCACAGACAGTGGACTAGGCCTGGGCTGTTACAGCATCCCGACCACTCCTGAAGACTTCCTCAACAACATGGAGGACATGGACACAGGTACAAAACACCCCCATGCTGTACAGCCATAAAAACATTGTGTGGTGTTATACCACAGGGCTACTGAGGGCTTGATTCTGATTGGCTGATCGGCGTTCTAAGAGGTTTGGAGTTATTTTACAGCTAAAACAGTCTAAAAGGGAGGAGAAATGTCATGTTTGGAGGAGAAATGTCATGTTGCGGTCTCAAAGTCACTGGGATTTAAATCCTATTTGAATAAAAAACCTTTTAAAAAAGACTTGTTGTGTTAAAATCACTGCAATATGACCGTAGACACACTCTACCTGAACACGGTTCGGCTTAAACAGCTTCCGTCAGTGGATTTTGCATCATAGGTGCCCTTAAGCTAGCATTGTTAGTTATTGATTTGTTAATACCGTGAATTGTGTCCTAAACTAAAGCGTGACCGTTTCGTCTGTTCTCTTCCGTCTGCAGGGGAAAACATGGTTCCTGTGAGCATGAACGTCCCACCACAGAGCCGCTTCCCAGACTTCCTGGACTCCATGCCGGGCACCAACGTGGACCTGGGCACCCTGGAGGGTACAGACCTGATGCCCATCCTCAACGACGTAGAGTCGGTCCTGAACAAGAGCGAGCCCTTCCTCACCTGGCTCTAGACTCGCACACACTCACACACTAAAGACTCTTTATATAAATATATCTATTATATTATATATTCAATCAGCCTCTTCCTCTAGTCTCACTACTTTAGCTGTCGGATTTGTGCTCTCAAAGTCAAAGAACAAAGCCAAAGTGTTTAGCCTGTGAACAAATAAGCGAGCATTGGCCAATCAAACAGCACTGTGTGTTCATGTGTGTGTGTACTTGTTTATATATCTCAGTGGGGACCTAAAGCTGAATGCACACAGACTCATGTGGACTTGTGTCACCGTGGGGACCAAAATTGAGGTAAACATGCTTATAAATAAGACTGAATGAAGTGTTTTGAGGATTTGGTTTGGGTTTAAGGGTGTTGTTGGGGGGAGGGGTGATGAAATATATGGCTTGTACAGTAGAAACATCATTATGGCTATGAGAGTCCCCACCAGGATATAAGAACAAGGTACATGTGTGTTTGTGTTTAGATTGATCACGCTGATGTGTGTATTGCAGCACAGGTAACCCAGAAGAGAGTCCAGCTTTACTGGGTCAGTCTCATGAAGCCACTCAGTCGTGTATAACACCCCATTCACACGGGGTGTCAGCGTCTCCGCTTCCTGTTCACTTTGATAGGGTTGACATCAAGCGTTGCCGAATTGCATTGTGGATCAGTCGGCGCCGCTATAGAGGCGTTGCTTGCTGCAGAAGTTGGGACTTTCTCAACTTTTTCAAGCACTGACAAAAGCGTCAGCCAATCAGATCACCGTATGCAAACACACCAGCTCAGATAGTGGCCAATTTCTGAATAATTTCATTGGCTGACGCTGCTATGCTGATCGCAACGCCCTCTGTCAATCGTTGACACTGAAGCCCAGAATGAATCGGGCGTAAAAGCTCATTTACGCCAACGAACAAACACACAACGATAACAATTCCTGAGTTACTTTTTTTCTTACAGCATTATTATACAACCCAGGCTCATTGTTGAAACGTAGCCTCGCCGACGTTTCTGGAGGCCGCGAATTACGTCCTGGGAGGTACGTATTTTTGCAGTTTTTGTTTTCGCGAATCCGCAAGAGGCTGCTGTGCTGCGCTTTTTCGCGTCTTGAACACCTCTCCGGAGCGCGCGCCATTCACGACTGCGCTGTTCTCGTGCGAAAACCCGCCAGAGGTCGCTGTCGAGCAACCGTCTGTCCGACTGACGGACTGAATGACGGAACAATGGACTGGGCAGCCGGCCAATTGGCCAACCTAGCCACCCCTCTCCTCCTTCCCTAAACCCAAGCATCAAGAAAAGACGTCCAGAAAAGCAAAGCAAAAGGCCTCGTTCGAATTTGACTGCGTTTTCATATTTCCCCACATTCTCGCCCCGTCACAAACTCGTGTGCTTTTATTTTTTGGATTCTGTTTTTCATCTTACCTGATTTCTGGAACTGCTCTTCCCCGAATTTGAAGCCGGTTGTTGCCGCGGCCGGCTCCTCCTCCTCCGGGCCTCCGCTCTGCCGACGTAACACTGCGAGCTAAGCGGACAAACTGGTTGCAGCGGGAAAGCCCTCCACACAGAGGTGAGCCGTCGCAGCCAGCAAGCCACCACAGCGGCCCATACACCGCCCCATAGCGTTCGCTCGAAAAAACGAAATGTGGCCATATGTAACTTTGGCCACGTAAATCGCGGTCTCCAGAAACGTCCGCGGGGCTACGTTCTCAGAATGAGCTTGGGTTGTTTATATATGCCACTATTTTCAACTACAAATGTAAAAGCTTTTAGTTTACGCAACAGCAGTCAGGTTTCCATCAGCCTGTGGTAATTCGCATTTTAAAGTACTGCACGTGAATCGAGTAAAAAAAAATGTTATAATTTTCCCCCCAAAAAGTTTTACACTTATTTGTGCTGGTTTTAGATTTGTGTGAAAGAGTTAATGTTAATACTGTGAGACGGAAACATAATAAACTTGTAGCTAATGTTAGCGACCAATTAGGGGCGGATCACACCGAATATGCTTTTTTCGTTCTGAAAACGAGAGGCGCACCGCACTGCCTTTATTTGTTGACATGAAAAAAAGAAATGCACTGCGCTTTTTCTGTTGCTAGGCAACCACTGAACCAGATGCGTATTGTGCGCGAGAACTGCTGTTGTTGTAATTGTAATATTTAATAATATGTGACGTTTTACAAACTAATTTCGAAAGGAGCACGTGATATGATTGATCTCAGCTGGTCTCTAATCTGTAATCGTTAGCAAGCCAATCGAGTTATTCCAAACTCACTATACATATCCTGTGTAGTATTACTCCCTGGTTGCGGGAGATTGGTCTGAAATTCGGGATACTCCCATTAAAAACGGAAGTGTTGGCAGGTGCTTTCCAGTTTAATAATGATTTGACCAGCTGTAGTTAGAAATCAGACTGTTATATCTTCTAAGCGTAAGGGCTTATTATGCGGTTCTGTCGCCATCTTGTGGATGGAAACGTCAACGTCTTTGGTCTACTCTATGGCAGGCTAATGGCCGCCGACAAGCTCTCAGAAATAGTAAATATTTAAAATAGGCTCTATTCTTATAAATGAGCATAGTTGCAATCTAAACAACTACTTTCTCCACTAAAAACGCCTCAAACTGTAGAGCGTCTGTCTGCTTGTTGCTGGCTGTATGTGGGCGGAGTAATACACAAAGGTGAAGGGTGAAGAGGCCTTTGTGTGATGTTACTGGCAAAATATTGCACGGCTATCAGCCAATCAGAACCAGACAGAACTGTTGTATATATATATATATAATGCGATCATGATTTTCGAAAGTATTACATCGCTTTGTAAACGTTTATTATTATCATTAGTTGAGTCTTCCTATACAGTTTAATAGAGCGCTTGGCCTTGGAATCGTGACGTCACACTTAAAAAGCGAATAACTACAATACACTACTGCGAAAGCTGTGCTGTTATACTTATGTTTGTATTACGTTCAGTATAAATGACTTTTTATTGTTCGTCTTCATAATATTGTAGACGATTCCAGACGCATAGTGTTTACAAAATACTGCCACCTACTGGCCTGGCAAACATATTGCAGTGTTGTTTCTACAGATCTGTGCGAAGGGCGATTGTTTGGTCGATTTTTTTGGTATGTTGATGTAAATAAACGCTGAGTGTGCTTTGCAATCTTTCGTACAATATATAAACTCGCAGTTCTGAAAATAAATCTGGCTCAAGAATAACAATAAGACAGATTTCAGGATCGTAATACTTTTGGTCACGCTTAAATAACGGTCCATTGGTTAGTGTACTAACAATGAATGATACAGTATTTATTCATCTTTGTTAACACTAGTTAATAAAAATAAAGCATTGTTAGTTCATGCTAACTCACATTGTTAGTTTGTGAAATAATGTTAATGAGTGTAAATGTGGATTTTAATAATGTATTACTAAACGTTAACGTAAGACCATCCGACCATTATTTTTTAAGTCTGACTACATTTTTAAATAATAGTTAAGCATTTTTATTAAATTTATTGCTAAGAGAATCATCACTGAGAATTGCAATCAAATTCAACAATCTAAACGTTATTACCTAATTTTTCGCCTGTTTTAGTACGCTAAAAATATAAACGTATTTAAGTTGATTCAGTTATCCTATCTTTATTCCCGACTTTAACCTAGATCAAGAATCATCAATGTCTCGGTGTGCTCATGAGATTGACCCTGCTTTAATTTCTCACATTTATTGCCAAATCACTAGCAGCATTGCGTCTGTCGAAAGCTTTACATTGTGAATATGACTCTATTTCAGAAGCGTTTTTACTGTTATTCCAGTGTAGTTATTGTGTGATGCTCCCGTTTGCGTTCGTAGACAAGCGTTTCATATCATATATGTTGTTGTTGTTGTTGTTGTTTTTTAATGTACTGCTGCAGTATTCCTATTTTCTATTCTGTGCTCTTGACATCTGGTGCATTTAATTAGTTTTGCAGTTGAGTATTTATCAAGAGCTACTTTTTAAGTAGATTGTAGATTCGTTTCCTTTTTTCAGGAATATTAAATATCGACGCACTACACGTATGGATTCAGCTGATCGTCAGTCCCTCAGTATCTTCAGGGAATATCTGCATCAAGTGTTTTCTTATACCAGAGATAATTTTGCATTGGTTTGGATGATTAATGGGGCTGAATATGTTTTTTTTTTAATTATTATTATTATTACTGATTTTATAACCCCAGCTGCAATCCAGTTCAATATATAAACATTTTACGTTTTTTTTTTGGTAGCACTTTACTTGAAGGGGTGTTCATAAGACGAGGACATGTTACAATTTTACATTTTAGTGGGTAATTCGTTCAATCGTGTGAAAATGTATGATTTTTAAAAGGAGGCGTGGCTTCTGTGTCCCCGCCCCTAATCCCGACTGTCATTGGGGGATGAGCAAATCGTTCAAAAATGTACGAAAGAGATCATACAACTAACACAAATTAGCCACTAAATCAAAAGTTACGAACTAGCATGAGATATCGTTGATAAGACCATCATGACACCTTTATAATCATGACATGACACATCATGAATATGAATAGGATTTTATTTATGCTCATGACAAATGTTCTGAAATGTCGTTTGTTGCTTGACATAAACAAATGCAGAATTACCTGTCTTTGTCAAGACAACATGACATAAATACTTCATAACATGTCTGTCATGACAATGACATTTTCATAACCTCTGTCATGACGACTTGACATAGACAAATGCATTATAACCTGTCTTTGTCATGACGACTTGACATAGACAAATGCATTATAACCTGTCTTTGTCATGACGACTTGACATAGACAAGTGCATTATAACCTGTCTTTGTCATAACTTGTCATAATGCATCATAACCTGTCTTTGACATTTGACATAGACAAATACATCATAACCTGCCATTATATTTGTTACTATTATATTTGGCAACTTGACAAACCCATCGTAACCTCTCTTTGTCATGACGACATTATGGCATTGACAAATAATTCATAACGTCTTTGTCATGACAATGACATAAATACTTCATAACCTCTGTCATGACGACTTGACATAGACAAATACATCATAACCTGTCATTATGTTTGTTATGGCAGCTTGACATAAATACATCATAACCTGTCTTTGTCATGACGACTTGACATAAACAAATACATCATAACCTGTCTTTGTCATAATGACTTGACATAAACGCATCATAACCTGTCTTTGTCATAATGACTTGACATAAACGCATCATAACCTGTCTTTGTCATGACGACTTGACATAAACGCATCATAACCTGTCTTTGTCATGACGACTTGACATAAACGCATCATAACCTGTCTTTGTCATGACGACTTGACATAAATGCATCATAACCTGTCTTTGTCATGACGACTTGACATATACAAATGCATTATAACCTGTCTTTGTCATAACGACTTGACATAAACGCATCATAACCTGTCTTTAAAATTACAATCTGACATTGACAAATACATCATAACCTGTCTTTATATTTGTTATGGCAACTTGTCATAAACATATCATAACCTGTCTTTGTCATAACGACTTGACAAATGCATCATAACCTGTCTTTGTCTTGTCAACTTGACATAAACTCATCATAAGTCATAAACATGTATGAAGTCTCTTTTTATGCATGACCTGTGTCATGTTTATGACAGATTTATGACAGGTTATTCACTTCTCATGACAAATACATCTCAAACCATGTCATCTTTGCATTTAAAGTGACGAGACTGAGTCATAAGCATGCATGCAATCTCATTTTATGAACGACCTGTGTCATGTCATGATTATGAAGCTCTTATGACAGTCTTATGAACACCACCTCTTCAGATAAAGCGTTATTGTTGTTGTTTTCTTCTTTTTTTCTACACAGGTCTACTTTTTGTATTGCATGTGTGATCTGTTTGATATTCATAGAACACAGGGGGCGTATAAACCCCCTTATTTTGTGTACGGTTACTCCAGAAGGGTTGTGAATTAGGAAGTGTGTTGGTTTGTGGATCGTGCAGATGGTTGAGTTTTTATTTTAGTAATCGTAGGTCAAACTGAGCTCATGATGTCCTCTTATATGGATTGAATGGTTTAGTTTTGGGTCAGAAAGGGCTGTTCTGATCTCTCAGAAACACTTGCTTCAGTTTCAGAACGCACCAAGAGGAACGCTGCAAAGATTTTTGCCTGTTTTCTGTGATTTAAACTGCTTCTCCAGAACCTTTATAATGTGTTATAATGGAGTGGATTATAAGGCTTCAGTGTGCTGTTGTGTTGTGGGATGAGATGAAATCTGCATTCAGCTTTTGTACGATCACTGAAGTCGCTCACATGCTGGAAAGCTCGGAAAACAAGGAGGAATATGACTGTGTACGTGCGAATCGTGGATGTAACCTCTGAGATTATCTCCCAAATTGTCAATAAAATCAAAAGGATCAATAAAATAGTTTTATTAGCATGAATGTGGAGCTGTGCTTCATTCTCTGTCTTGTTTCACTGTAAAAAAATGCTGGGTTCCACGCAATTGCTTCATGTTGTCCCAACACAACTTGACATGAATTGAACATAAAACAATTAAGCTGTCAGAAAAAAAAGCTCGTTTTAGATACGTAGTGTGAACAAACAGAAGGATAGGAGAGTTTTACCCATGCAAGATCCGCTTGTTCCAAACCTTATGAGTTACTTTCTTCTGTAAAACGCAAAAGAAGATATTTTGAAGAATGTTGGAAATCTGTAACCATTGACTTTCATAGTAGCCAAAAAATTCAATGGCTTTCAAACATTTTCCAAATTATCTTCAACAGACAAAAGAAACTCATAAAGGTGAAATAATAAACCAGTAAATGATGACAAGATTGAATTTCTGGGTGAACTGTGCCTATACTGACAATTAGTTGGGCTACAACAGGGGTTTTCAAAGTGTGAGGCGCGCATCCACTGGGGGGCGCCAGAGCATGTCAGGGGAGGCGCGGGAAAAAATATTATATAATAAAAATATAATTATTATATGTATTTTTATTATATTTAAACGTGTTAATTAAACAAAGCTAAAAAAATAATACGTCAAAAAGGCCATAGCTGTGAATTCGCTTCTGTTTGGCAAGCCCGCCAATACAGGTATATGCCTGCTAATACAATGGATCGGTTTCTGAGACGCCCCGATACAAATCCTTCAAGTTCAGGGCTTAAACCCAAAAGACGACGATATGATGATCAGTATTTGAGTTTAGGATTTCCGTGGACAGGACCAGCTGATGAACCACGACCTTTATGTGTGGTTTGTCAAGATATTTTGGCTAATGACAGCATGAGACCCGCTAAACTTCCACTGTTTTGACTGGGATGGACAGTTCTTGGATCTGTTCTATTCATATTGAACCATCATCCTAGTTTTAAAAACGTTATATTAAAATACTTGTTATTACTCTGTAAATAATTGCACTTTCATGCAAATGATGATAAAAGTGAGTTAACAGTCTGACATCTGTCTGTGTCTTTATATATATATATATATATCACTGTCACTGTGACGGGTAGGGTTAGGGGTGGGGTTAGGCATTAATGCAGCCCAGATCGCTCTGCACCACGTCTGCAGCCAGACCCTCTCCTATTAATATGTCAAATCCTATTAAGTTCAACCACACACAGAGACATTGTGTGTGTGTGTGTGTGTGTGTGTGTGTGTGTGTGTGTGCGTGTGCGTGTGTGTGTGTGTGTGTGTGTGTGTGTGTGTGTGTGTGTGTGTGTGTGTGTGTGTGTGTGTAAACTAAAGAACATTCTCATTCCAACAAATTTCACCAGCATGGCCCACGCCACACTTTAAGCTAGACTTTACTGTAGGGATGGTAACAGTGGGATGAAGGGGAAGGGGAGTAAGAAGATGACTGGTAAACAGGTGGGTAAGTTGATCGGGCGTCCTACTATGCCCCGAGACTCAGAGTGTGGGTACTGTCTGTAATAGTTTAACAGAGTGATTGGACCCCTCGATTCAACCTTCGTGTAGGAGTGAAGAGAGTTATAGGATTGTGAATGGGAAGCGAGGAAATGGAGGGAGGGAGGGAGGGAGGGTGGGTTTAATTAAGTGTAAGGGGGTAGGTGATTGGTTAAGGAGACAAAGTGAGGTGTGGATCCGCCACTGAACTTTCTGCTGAACATTAAAAAGTAATTTCAATATCCGAAATCAGTACACTACGAGTATATATTGTGTATAGCAGAGCACAGCTTGTATTGTTTTATAAAAACTGCATTTGTAGAAGTAGCCCATGTTAAAGTGCAGACATTAATAAACAGTGTAGAGCTGTGAGTGTCCAGCAGGGGTCGCTGCATCATGCGCGTTTCAGGTTTGTTCTGTGCAAAATACACTTGTAATTCTGGAGTCATCACTGACAGTGCACTGAGGGCCTCATGTTGGTTTATAAGTGACTGATTTTAATTATTCAAAAACACTGTTTTTATATGATTTTAATTCAATAAAAACTGAATTACTGTTGAGTTAATGGTGTGATGAAAACAGTAAAGGTTCTTTAACATTTTAATCATTTGATCGACTGATTACAAACACATTTAAAGTGCAAACATGCTCTTTATATTATAAACTATCCCTCAAAAAAAGGAAAACATGAAGTTTTAAAGAACTGTTTACCAATAAAAGCTCGTCTGAGGAATCGAATATGGACATTGCATGGAAAACATTTTTGGAACGTGTAAAAATAGTATATCTGAACTTTATATTTTACTGTGTAGTATGTAAACATGAGGAAATATTCAGTAAAGCTGCAACAAAACCCACATAAAACTACTAGTAAATACTATCGTATTTTTGAACTAGTGTACTCTATCCCTACTGAAAAAACTGATTAAACCAGCCCAGACTGCTTGGCTAGTTTTAGCAGGTCCACCAGGTGGGTTTTAGAGGGGTTTTGGCCATTTCCAGCCTGGTTTTAGAGGGGTTTTGGCCATTTCCAGGCTGGTTTTAGAGGGGTTTTGCCCATTTCCAGGCTGGTTTTAGAGGGGGTTTGCCCATTTCCAGGCTGGTTTTAGAGGGGTTTTGGCCATTTCCAGGTGGGTTTTAGAGGGGTTTTGGCCATTTCCAGGTGGGTTTTAGAGGGGTTTTGCCCATTTCCAGGCTGGTTTTAGAGGGGTTTTGCCCATTTCCAGGCTGGTTTTAGAGGGGTTTTGGCCATTTCCAGCCTGGTTTTGGAGGGGTTTTGGCCATTTCCAGGCTGGTTTTAGAGGGGTTTTGCCCATTTCCAGGTGGGTTTTAGAGGGGTTTTGCCCATTTCCAGCCTGGTTTTAGAGGGGTTTTGCCCATTTCCAGGCTGGTTTTAGAGGGGTTTTGCCCATTTCCAGGCTGGTTTTAGAGGGGTTTTGCCCATTTCCAGGTGGGTTTTAGAGGGGTTTTGGCCATTTCCAGCCTGGTTTTAGAGGGGTTTTGGCCATTTACAGGTGGGTTTTAGAGGGGTTTTGGCCATTTCCAGGCTGGTTTTAGTGGGGTTTTGGCCATTTCCAGGCTGGTTTCCAGCCATTTCCAGCCTGGTCTTAGCTGGTCAGGCTGGGAGATGACCAGCTAAAACCAGCTTGACCAGCCTAGCCAGTCTGGGAGCCCAGCCAAAACCAGCTATGTCCAGCTTAAACCAGACTGGTCAAGCTGGTTTTAAAATTTAGATCAGGGGTGTCAAACTCATTTTAGCTCGGGGGCCACATGAAGGAAAATCCATTCCCAAGTGGGCCGGACCAGTAAAATCATGGTAAATATAATTCAAAAACAACAACTTTAGAATGATTTCTTTGTTTTAATACGATCAACATAAAACATGAGACGCTTAGTATGATCTAGATCATTTAGATCATTTAGTATGATCTGCTTATCCACCGATGACGCTTTGGTTTAGGGGTGTGGTTGGGTCCCAAACTTTCTTTTTTATATCGTACATTTTCGTACGACTGAACTTACGAATTAGACACTTAACTGACCACATGTGAAATAGTTACGCTTTCTCATGAGATCACCTCAGTGTGGTACGGCAGGGCATAGATGAGATCTTACTCTCTGAGAGGGCTGTCAAACTGATGCAGATTTAGGCTTCTGGATTGGATGAAATTAACAATTTGCAATTTCTCCATTCAGTGGACACAACTGGAACAGCAGTTTTTTTTTATTATAAAAAAAATGCATCTCATTTTTATACTTTACAGAATCATCTCGCGGGCCGGATTAAACTCATTTGCGAGCCTGATGCGGCCCGCAGGCTGTACGTTTGCCACCCCTGATTTAGCTGGTCAATTAAAGGATTCAAATATTACAAACATTATTATTTTCTAGCCTACATAAATATAAACACCACCGCCTCCATGCCTTCTTCATCACGGGGGGCTTTTCAATTTATTCATGACAATTTGCGTCTGTATAATGTTATTATTATTAGCAGTATTATTTATTATCTGCATATTTATATTTGTTTGATTAAAATCAAGCTTAGATTTGTCCACCTGTCAGGTTTTAGACCATATGGTGCAGCATGTGTATTAGGATGTAACTCAGGTTTTTGAGCACACTTCATTATTATTGTTCATTTATTCGTTTGCTGGAGATTAGAACTGAATTTAGAAATAGTTTTGAAGCAAATCTTTGCGCTTAACAAACTAAATTAATTATGTATAGGCTAATGGATGACAACACATTTCCCTATCCACCAGAGTGAAAGTAAGAGTAGATAATAAGGAGGCTCATCTCTCATTCTCGCGCTGCAGATGCTCTGTTTAACTGTGTTCTCGCTAGTGAAGTGTTCAGTTTTTACACTTACAAAGTCGCCATGTAAATAGCAAATGCACTATGCCACAACGCAACTGACTCTTAAAGGGAATGGCGAGATGAGACTCTGATTGGCTTATTCTCTAAACACACCTATAACTCATTAAGAGAATAAGCTCAACCCTGTTAGACCGTGCGCCACTGCGCAGAGCGGATTTTTCCATCCTTAAAATAGCAAAAGTGAATTCAGACACGCCCTTAATGCTTTTCGCCCTGCGCTTTAGACTTTGCGCCTGGATCATCAAAATAGAGCCCTTAATGTCGGAATATAAGTATTATTATTATCGCTGGGAGATACTCTTTGTGTTTGTTTCCCTGTCACACTACAGCTTTGAGTCAGCCATAAAGTCTAATCAGTAATAACGCATCATTCACATGCTTCACAGAGCATGCAGTTAATCATTCCTGTGTGAAGATGTGAGCTGTGAAACCCATAAACCCACTATAAAATAACATTTCCCCCATAAAAACCCTGATAACACATCGACACACGGAACAACAAACATTTACACTACCCATAAAGCCGTCTCTCGGTTCCTCAGATATGATAACGTTGCGTAAGAACACTGATAGAGTTTTGGCTCGCGCGCCGTCTTTGCATATTTAATAGTCTAGATAATCTTTAGGCGCATATAGACATCTGATATATGCAAATTGAATACATTATGTGACATTAAGTTGAGGTCAGAATTATTTTTTTTCTCCAATTTCTGTGTAACGGAGAGCAGATTTCTCCAACACATCTCTAATCATAACAGTGTTAATAACTCATCTCTAATAACTGATTTATTTCCTCTTTGTCATGATGACAGTAAATAATATTAGACTAGATATTCTTCAAGACACTTCTATACAGCTTAAAGTGACATGTAAAGGCTTCACTAGGGTAATTAGGGTAACTAGGCAGGTCAGGGTAATTAGGCAAGTTATTGTATAACGATGGTTTGTTCTGTAGACTATCCAAAACAAATATAGCTTAAAGGGGCGAATAATATTGAGCTTAAAATGCTGTTTAAAAAAATAAGAACTGCTTTCATTCTAGCCCAAATAAAACAAATAGGACTTTCTCCAGAAGAACAAACATTATCAGACACACTGTGAACATTTCCTCAACCTGTTCAACAACATTTAGGAAATATTGAAAAGAGACAGAAAAATCAAAGGGGGGCGAATAATTCTGACTTCATCTGTGTATATCTGTAAACATAATCTATATATATTTTTTGTGAGAAAACAGGACGCAGATGGACAGAGCGACACTGACCCGGGACATCCTTGGGTTACTACATAAACAACAGCTGTCCTGCTCTCATATATACATCAGCATATGCAAATATATGCAAATTACATGACATACAAATAGAAGTGTCTTGAAGAATAGTCTAATATTATTTACTGTCATCATGACAAAGAGAAAATAAATCAGTTATTAGAGATGAGTTATTAAAACTGTTATGATTATAAATGTGTTCAACAAAATCGTCTCTCTGTTACACAGAAATTGGAGGAAAGAATAAACAGGGGGTGAATAATTCAGGGGGGCTAATAATTCTGACTTCAACTGTACATTCCTAGCTTCCCGCTATTAAAAACAAGATTAAAGTACTTAATAATATAAAATAAACACTAAATAATGCAAATAACAATCACATGCTGCAAAAGTCAGTTCACATGATTTGACTGCAGTCTGGCTTTGAGGAGATATGAATGTTGAGGAGTTTAGAGAGGTGCGTGTGTCGCAATTTAACCCGATTTCATTCCGATTGTTATTTTTCATAATCTTGGAGTCCAAAACCGAAGCCGAATTTCGATTAATTGCACAGCTTTGGTTAACAGTACGAAGAACTCTTAGCGAACTTGACATTGTGCATGTGTAGGTTACTAAGGGTTGATGGAGCATTACTTTATTTTGAAGTCGATTAAATTATCGGGAGGGGCATTTCTGTAATTGGTGGATATTGGTGGGGACACGTCCACTTCGTCCATGTTAATTCAACGCCCTTGTTTTTAATAAATATATCTATTTAATAAATCAGTTTTGTTCAAATGCACCAAAATCAGCCTGATCTCACGAGAAAACGCAAGTATTTTACGTTTTGCCGGTTTATTGGCTAATTCGTACGAATTCATACAAGTTCAGTCGTACGAAATTATACGATTTTAAAAGGAGGCGTGGCACCTAACCCCACCCCTAAGCCCAACCGTCATTGGGGGATGAGCAAATCGTACTAAATTGTACGATTTAAATTGTACAAATTCATACGAATTAGCCACTAAATCAAAACGTTACAAACTGCCGTGAGATTGTGTTGGCATATGTTCCACCAAAACTTCGCTGACTGAGACAGAAAGATCCAAGCATACAACAAGCACAGAGAAGTGTGTTTGTTTTTGTCGTATTCAAGAGTTTATTAAGCCTCAAATATCCCTTTGTGCATTTCAACCAATTTCCTGAGATAAAATACAATTTAAATTATCTTTATTTGCACGTTCCCTTCCATTCTTTAAAAAAAAGAGTAAATACTTGTACGAAAATAACATTCTCTTGCAGTCGGAATAAATATCAATATAAGGTTTAATATGTATCAACATACGTATATTAATATAATAGTTCATACAAATCTGTATGTGTAGCTATATAACAATATATAACAATAAATGTCGCCTTCGTAAAACAAAAGATCTGTTGCCTTCATAAGCCATCAGCCATCAGGCGAATGGATGTTTCATACAGAAAACAGGGAAGAAAACAGCATCCGTCTGAACAGGAGGACATAAATAACAATCATGAGGTGAACATGTTGACAATTACAGATATTGATGGATGTTAGTACTGAAGAATCAACGATCCGAGTCCAGTCCGAGAGGTTTTACTTTATTCCTGTGGAGGGGAGAAATGGAAAGAGGCTTTAGTGTGATTCAGTTCATATAAAGTAGCAGTGTTTTGTAATCATGTTTTTAGTTTTTAATTATGTTTATTTCTGCTTTTGAATTGCTTTATGAGAGCTTGGTCTAACTTTTAACCTTGAAAATTTGTATAAAGTGACTTCTATTAACATTTTTAATCAACCCAGGCTCATTGTGGAAATGTAGCCCTGCGGACGTTTCTGGAGGCCGCGAATTACGTCCCGGGAGGTACGCATTTGTGCAGTTTTTAAAAAAAAAAAAGTTTTTTATGCAGTTTTCGCGAATCGAAATCGTCCGAAATCGTTCGTCTCTTATTTTTTGGATTCTGTTTTTCATATCTGATTTCTGGAACCGCTCTTCCACGGACTCAAACTCGGTCCCCGCCACGGGTGGCTCCTCTTCCTCCTGGCCTTCGATTCGCCGACGTAACATTACGAGCTAAGCGGACAAACTGGTTGCAGCAGGAAAGCCCTCAACACGGAGGTGAGCCGTCACAGCCGGCGAGCGCGAATAATTATTATTATTATTATTATTATTATTATTATTATTATTATAAAACAATAGTATTATTACTATTATTATTATTACCATTATATACTATATATAATTACTATTATTATTATTAATACTATTATTAGTATTGTTGTTATTATTATTATTATTATTATTATTATTGCTATTTATTACAATTATTATTAATCATTTATTATTACTATTACTATTATTACTATAATTAGTTAATACTATTATTACTATTACTGTGGATATTAATGATATTAATATAATTAGTGTTGTTGTTATTTTTTATTATTATTATTATTATTATTATTATTAATATTGTGGTTGTTGTTGTTATTATTAATATTATGATTAGTATTATCATGGTTGTTGTTCTTTATCATTCATATTAACAATAACAATAACAACAATAACAATAATAATGATGATGATAATAATAATAATAATAATAACAACAACAGTAATAATAACAACAACAACAATAATAATAATAATAATAATATTGTTTTTTAACTATTATTATTTTCCCGGTGATGGGTTGCAGCTGGAAGGGCATCCGCTGCGTAAAAACGTGCTGGACAAGTTGGCGGTTCATTCCGCTGTGGCAACCCCAAATTAATAAAGGGACTAAGCCGACAAGAAAATGAATGAATTACTACTATTATTATTATTCATAATATAATTAATTTTAGACAATCTCATTCAATGTACACTTATTATTAAACAAGTAATTATTTTTAGTGGTGATCGGTAAGTGTCTGTATTAGAGTGTTCACAGTGGTATACAGTGTTTACCTTGCAGCAGCCGCAGCAGTCTCCACAGATGGTGCCGATCAGTCCGTTGATCACCTGGAAAGCACACAGTCCGATCTGGACAATCCCGGTAATCAGCAGGATGGAGAACAGTGTCAGGTGCCAGGTGACGATATCTCCGGGTCCCGCACACAGCTCCCACATCGTACGGTTTGACAGGTAGTTTCTGAAGGAGCAAAAACACATGCGTTACATTACAAATATACACCATGTTGCATATTACACTGCAGAAATCTTGTAATAAACCACCGTTATGTATTTCTCTATGTATTACTACCAGCCTCTAGTGATAACATTTAATTAAATATATTTGTTGAGATCAGACTTGATGAAATCAGTCTGCAGAAACACTTTGATTGACATTCTCCCTTTGTATGTGTCATCAGTGGAGGAAAGCCCCGCCCACTAGTGACCATCTCTCCCTCATTAGCATAGGACGTCAGTCTTATTTTTGAACCTGCCACTATGCTGACACTCAGGCATCTGTAGCTCCGCCCTCTTTTAAAAAGAGCACAATCTCATTTGAATGTAAAGCGACAGTCACCAAAACACCACGATTTAGATCAAAGGATCTGGATTTATTTGAGGGTCTGTGAATAAACACTCACCCGTCGGTGAATGGGTAAGTGGCGTTATTGCTGCCGTCGCTTAAAAAACATTTGGGTCCGTGATTTAGAGCCACACAGGACACAATGACGGAGTAACCAGCGCCCACTGCTCCTGCCGCCGCAAACAGAATAGAGCTGAACATCTGCAGGAAAGAAGAACTAAACGTTAAAGTGGAAACAAGCCAAGATAATGGTGTTGCAATAAATACAGGGGGTGAATAAGTAAAACACTGCATTGCACGACATTTTACGTAACTATTTTACACATTGGAATTTGTTAAATTTGCAGAAAAAATGCACACAGAGCTTTTAATTAAACGTTAAAGTGATAACAACAACAAAAAATTGTGTTAAAACAATTGCAAGAAATTGTCGAGTCCAACATTGAATTAGACATTAACATCTTTACGCATTCGGGAATTCAAATTTGTTGAAATTTTACAAAAAAGCAAAAAGACCTTTTAATAAAACGTTAAAATGGAAACAATGCGAAGGAAAAATAGTGTTCGGGCAATCACAAAGAATCGCTAAGTAAAACATTGAATTTCGCAACACGTAACTATTTTATACATTGAAGAATTTGATTTTGTTAAATTCGTACAACAAAAGCACAAAGACCTTTTAACGAAACGTTAAAGTGATAACAAAACAAAATAAAATGGTGTTAATGCAATAACAAGTAATTGTCGATTCCAACATTGAATTAGACGTTACCATTTTTACGCATTGGGGAATTCAAATTTGTTGAATTTGTACAAAAAGAGCATAAAGACCTTTTAACGAAATGTTAAAATAGAAACAATACGAAGAAAAAAATGGTCATTAAGTACTTACAAGGAACTTTTAAGTAAAACGTTGAATTACACATAACTGTTTTACACATTGGAAATTTGAGTTTGTTGAATTATTACTAAAAAATATACAAAAGCCTGTTAACTACACGCTCAAAAACGTTTAAAATCATGAAAATAGTATTCGGGCAATTACAAAGAATCGCTAAGTAAAACATTAAATTGCGCAACACGTAACTATTTTACACATTGGAGAATTTGATTTTGTTAAATTTGTACAAAAAACACAAAGACCTTTTAAATAAATGTTAAAGTGATAACAAAACAAAAAATTGTGTTAATACAATTACAAGAAATTACAGAGTCCAACATTGAATTAGACGTTACCATTTTTACTCATTGGGGAATTCAAATTTGTAGAATTTGTACAAAAAAGCATAAAGACCTTTTAACGAAATGTTAAAATAAAAACAATATGAAGAAAAAAAAATGGTCATGAAATACTTAAAAGGAACTGTCAAGTAAAATGTTGAAATACACATAACTATATTTACACATTGGGAATTTGAGTTTGTTGAATTAATACTAAAATATATATACAAAGACCTGTTAACTAAACGTTCAAAGTCAAGAAAATAGTCTTCAGAAAATTACAAAGAATCGTTGAGTAAAACACTGAGTTGCGCAACACGTAATTATTTTACACATTGGAGAACTGGAATTTGTCAAATTTAAACAAAAAAGCAGACAACTTAATCAAAGCGTTAAAGTGGAAGCAAAGTGAAGAAGATAATGGTGTTCAGACTATTATAAAGAATTGATAACTAAAACATTAGATTACCCGTAACTATTTTACACATTGGGTAATTTGAATTTGTCAAATTTGTGCACAAACACGAAGACCTTTTACCCAAACTTAAAAATGATAATAAAACCGAGAATGTGGTGTTGAAGTAATTACAAGGCATAGTCAAGTAAAACATGAAAATGTGTGCAACTATTTTACACATTGAAGAATTCAAATTTGTCAAATTCGCAAAAAAGGCCAAAATGTTTTATTTTTTAAAAATTTACACCAGAAAGCTTTAACTAAATGCTAAAACGGAAATAAAACTAAGAACAATACGGCATTGAAACAGTTACAAAGAATTGTCAATTACAACATTGAAATGCGCGGCATGTAATTATTTTACACTTTGGGGAATTTCCCAACGAAAATATTTTCCCGCTAAAATATCTCTTAACAAAAAAATTTGCTCACAAAATATTCTCCTGCTAGATCAATTCCTGACAAAATATTTTTTTGACAAAAACATTTTGCTGCCAATTTATTTTCCACTAAAATATTTCATGTCAAACTATTTCCTGCTAAAAGTATTTTCCTGTGAGAAAAATATTTCCCGCTAAATTATTTCCTGCAATAATATTTATTGCCAAAATATTTCCCAACAAAATATTTTCCCTACTAAAACATTTCCTGACAAAATTATTTCCGGACAAAAGTAATTTCCTGTCAGAATATTATTTCTTGCTAAAATATTTCCCGGCAAAATATATTTTGCTAAAAAAATATTACCCACCAAAATATTTCTTGCTAAAATATTTCTTTGCAAAATATTTCCTGACAAAAATATTTTCCTGCCAAATTATTTCCTTCTAAAATATTTCTCTCCAAAATATTTTTCCAGGTAAAATATTTCCTGCTAAAACATTATCTGACAACATATTTACCTGCCAAATAATTTCCTGTCAAAATATTTCCCGTCAAAACAATTACTGCTAAAATATTTCCCGCTTAAAAAAATTCCCTCTAAAATATTTCTCGGCAAAATAATTCCACACAAAATATTTTTCCTGCTTAAACATTTCCCGGCTAAATTATTTCTTGTCAAAATATTTCCTGACAAAATAATTTTCTGCTAAAACGTTTTCAGCCAAAATATGTTCCTACTAAAATAATTCCTGCAAAAATATTTCCCGCCTTTTCTGATGGCAGATCTGGGATGTCATGAAGCGGAGTGGCTGTGTGGAGGAGCGCTGTGCACATGTCATTGGTAATCCAGCTTTTGGTTATTGTTTTTCTCACCGCAAATCGTTTCCCGCAGCTCTCATTCCCACAGCAGCCGCAGCAGTCGTTGTTCTTCAAGCCCAGGAAAACCAGAGCAGGGAAAATCATCTGAACAAACACACACAATATAAAATGACTTCAAGATCCAAAAAAACTGCTGTTACTTTAAAACATTTGAATCGGTTTAAACTAACTGTATTGGTTTATTATACGAAGTTTAGCTTAATATTTTAGCTGGTTTGACTGTAATTTAGTTAAAATAACTGGAAAAGCTCTGTTCATTCAGATAAAACATCGTACGCAGTGCGTTTAATTTAACAATGTCGTAACCAAGTAAACTAAGTAAACTTAGGTACAGTTTTATTGCAAAAGCGAATCTGAAGGGAACACAAACTTTACAAATTTACATGCAAATACACTAGATATACTGCATTAGTTTAAAGACTTCACTGTAAAAAAAAACCATATAAATATATTCTTACTTAAACTTTCAAGTTTAATTTATTTATATAGCATGTTTCCAACTACCACAAGGCTGCACAAAGTGCTTTACAGAGAAACTAATGTAAAGAGTTTTGCTATGCAGTATCATATATATCAATATAAACAGCACTGCCTCCACGCCTTCTTCACCTCGGGGGGCTTCTTCAGATTATTCATGACCGTCTGCTTCCGTATAATGTGATTATTATCAGCAGTATTATTGATTATCTGCAGATTTATATCTGCTTTAATAAACACAAGTGTAGATGTGTCCAGCTGTGGGGTTTTGGAGACGTCTGCATCAGCATTTGGGGCATAAGAACAGGACGTGTTTTTGGATATAACCCAGTTTTCTGACTCACTTCATTATTATTGTTCATTTATTCCTTTACTGGAGATCAGAACTGAACTTAGAAATAGTTTTGAAGCAAATCTTTGTGTTTAACAAAGGAGATTAAACATTTGGGCTAATGGATGTGGTCAGTGGACTGAGTTTTCACTGTTTCCTCACTCCACCAAAGTAAAGGAGTAAAGTGAAGAAGTAAAGTAAAGAGGCGGAATGGAGGAGGCTCGTTCTTTATCCTCGCGCTGCAGATGCCTCGCTGCTCTGTTTAACTGTGTTCTCGCTAGTGAAGCGTTCAGTTTTTAGTCTTACAAAGTCATCATGTAAATAGCGAATGCACCATTGAGCGACGCAACTGACTCTTAAAGGGAATGAGAGACGAGACTCTGATTGGTTTAATGCAGGTTATGCTCAAAACACAGCCAGAACTCATTAAGAGAATAAGCACAGCCCTGTTAGACCATGCGCTGGGGAGTATTTTTACGTCATTAAAATAGCAAAGGTGGACTCGGGCACACTCTTAATCCTGTTGCGCCATGTGCTCTGGACTTTTTATCATTAAAATAGCGTTTTGTTGGACAAGCAAAATGTGTTGCCTTGTTTTTGGAAAAAAAAGTTGTCAAAATTAAGTTGAAAGTTGAGTTTTTTTAAATTACATCAACAGAGTAAACAAAATAATCCTGTTTTCACTACTAGATAATATCAGTTTTCTCACCTCATTGGCAGATTATTTAGCCAGTTTGTCAGGGAAAACACTTTATTTTGACACATTATTTCTGAAAACAAGACAATATTTCAAACTTGTCTAGTAAGAGAAAATTAGCTTTTTACCAGAGTAAACAGTAAAGGACCTTTATTATCTAAATATCTATATCAAATATATATATATATATATATATATATATATATATATATATATATATATATATATATATATATATATATATATATATATATATATATATATATATATAAAATTCTTACATCTGATGAAACTCAATAAGAGCTCAAAACAAGGAGAGTTTTCCTAAAAACAAGCAAAATAATCTCATCTTTTTTTTCTCTGTGAAAAGATTAGTTTGCTTGTTTTCAGGAAAAACTTGCTTCATTTTGACTCTCTATTTCTGAAAACAAGACAATATTTTGTACTGGTCTATCAAATGCTTCTTGATATTGGTTGTAAAGCTACTAGTTTAGCTAGCAGTTTCACTGGGAGGGATTGTTGGTGATTGGATGGGTGTTGGCCTGATTGGGTAACTTCACATGGGCAAAGGAAAAATAAGACTTGTTTAGGACAAACAGTATTTCAAGACAAGACAATATTTTTTGTGAGTTTAATACTTTAAGTAAGTAACAGATAGTTTTTCCTCACTTTTATAGAAAATTTGTAGTTGTAAGTAATTCTTACTTAGTGTTTGTGTTTTGTTACGAGTTCAAATATCTAAAATGTCATAAATCAAAAGAAATAATAAATCAAAACAAAGTGAGTACTAAAATCATGCAAAATAATCTTGTTTTTCATTCGTAATAAAAATATTTTGTTTGTTTTCAGGAAAAACTCACTTTATTTTGAGTTATTGTTTCGGAAAACAAGACAACTTTCTTACGCATCTATCAAATGCTGGTTTTGCAGCTATTAATTCAGCTATTATATTATTAAACAGAGTTTTTTTTAAGTTTCACTGGGATGGATTGTTGGTGATTGGATGGGTGTTGACCAGATTGGGTAAATTTACATGGACGAAGGAAAAATAAGATCCGTTTAGGACAAAAAGTATTTGATTCAGATGTATAAACCTCTGAATGTCGAGTGAAATTTATCCCTAAAATGAGCATTTTTTTCAGCCTACGTTTACATTCAGTTATTTCACTTTTAAGGCAATGAAAAGAACTTATTTGTCACTATGACAGTAAAAGTATTAAGCCTACACAAAGCATTCTGAGAAAAATGACCTTTTTAGAAGAAGATATCAAACAGCATTTAGAGGTTTTTGCATCTAAACTCTTCATATAAGGACAAGACAATATTTCAGTGAATTTAAGACACTTTTTAAGGCCTAATATTTTGAAATTTAGGACATTTTAAGTCTGTTTAAGAAAAAAAATGCATGTTCAAATATCTAAAACATCTTGAATCGAAATTGAAAGAAATAATAACTCAAAACAACCTGAAAAATAATCTTGTTTTTGTGTTTTAATACAAATATTTAGCTTGTTTTGAGGTAAAACTCACTTTATTTTGACTCATTATTTCTGAAAGCAACATAATGGGTTGCACTTGCCTATAGAAAATGCTTCTTGATTTAACAACGTTTAGATATTTGCACTAGAAATAATACAAAATCTCTTTTTTTTTGCAGTGTTTTCAGAGGATACAGTTAAAAGAATATACACAAAAAGCTTTTGCTGCTTATTTGCATCTTTCTTTTTAAATAAGTATGTTTTTCCTTAAAACAAGTACAAGAATCTGCCAATCCTGTAAGTGAAATAATTTTACTTCAGAGCAAAAATAAGATAATATTGCTTGTTTTAGGGGAAAAACCCTTAATTTTGACTAATTATTTACAAAAACAACACAATATTTTGTTCTCATCTATAAAAAAAGGTTTTCTAGATATTTGGAATAGAAACGAGACAAAAACCCTAAGTGTAAAACACATTAATTGGTAGTGCATCAAAGTTTTTCAGTGTTAAAATAATAATAATAATAATAATAATAATAATAGTAATAATAGCTAATAATAATAATTTATAATATATAATTAATATAAATATATAATTAATAATTAACAACAACAACAATAATAATAATAATAATAAATAATAACAATAATTTATAATATATAATTAATATAAATATATAATAATAATAATAATAATAATAATAATAATTGTTAGTAATAATAGAAAATAGAAAGGTATTTATTTTTCCTAACGTTGGAGTGATTTTAGAAAAAAAATCAAAGGTGAAAAAAAAGTTTTGCCTTCAGATATAGGGTCATTTTTAATCCGTAAATCAAACAGACGCCTTCAAATCTTGTTAAAAGGGTTCAGCATCCCAGTTTTGGGCCAAATCCACAAGTGTGCAGTGAATGTGAAGGTCTTTACATTGCAAAAATGCTTTTCTTCATCCTGTTTTTAGTCCAAATATCTAAACATTCCTAAATCAAGAAGCATTTTCTACTCAAGCAGAAAATATTGTCTTGTTTTCAGAAATAATGAGTCGAATAAAGTGGGTTTTTCCATAAAACAAGCAAAATAATCTGACAATGGGGTCAGAAAAATAATCTTGGAACAAAAATGTTTACTCATTGGCAGATTATTAGGCTTGTTTAATGAAATACTCAACACAATATGTCATATATGTCAACTTTTAGATATTTGGACTAGAAACAAAACAAAAACACTAAGTACGAAACAGATTTTTAGCAGTGCATCAGTTTTTTCAGTGCTAAAAAGGAATAAAAACACAGCATATAACAATAATGCTAATAATAGAATAATAATGTTGTTGTTTTTTATTATTATTAATATCAGTATTATACAATCTCCTTCTCAAGTGCATTTATTATTAAAACAGTAATATCGAAGGCGTTCTGAGTTGTTATTTCCTCACCAGCACTCCAGATCCCAAAATTCCCCCCAGGTAAAAGACTTCGTCGGTGATGTCTTGGCTCTGATCGGCCACTTTCCCGCTGGGGAAAAAGAGCAGGATGTTGCAGAGGACGCAGATGATGGCCAGCGGGATGAGCGTGATGCCCAGACACTTGGCGAAATTTCCAGAGCACATGATTGAGTCTCTGCTGGGGAGAAGAAATACAGTCCGACGGGAGTTGAGTTTGTTCGGCTGTGCTGGAGCAGGAGAGTGGAGGCAGGACTTTATACCTGCTGTCTGTAAATCAGTAACTGCTAACAATTGACACTAACAGATATCAGTGCGTCACACCGGCCTCACCTTAACATGAGGATCTTTATGACTACACTGAGAAAAAAAAATGACTTTACTTTGAGCTTTCGTCTTGTTTCTAGTCCAAATATCTAGAAATTCCTAAATCAAGAAGCATTTTATAGACAAATACTTATCAATTTTATGTAAATCTTTTTTTTTTATATTTATGACTATGCTAAAGAAATTCCTTTCCGTAACTTGTGTTATTCAACTTATCAGGACAAAGAGAGATAGGGTCCGAGCGCAGTGTCTAGCCCGACTCCGGAACGCCCCCCCCAGATTTAAATAGGTATCTGGTTTAAAAGTGTGGAGTTGGGGTGGTGGAGGGACGCTGAAGTCAAGAGAAAACGGAGGTATTACGTGTTTGACTATTTATAGGGGTTTGTTCTTGATCTGATTGGATAATAGAATGATTGTGTGTAATGAATTAGCCTAGTCAAAGACTGATCGTGCTCCTCCCGAAATTTGTTTATATAACATTACAAATTCTTAGTGTCTCAAAGCATTTTCCTAACTATGGATGTTGGGGGAGAGAACTTGGACGCCGGAGTGTTTTAGTAGATCTAATGTATGTATTCTTTCATGCAACTCAGGCTCATTCTAAAAACGTAGTCCCATGGACGTTTCTTGAGACCGCGAATAATGTAGCAGGAGGTATGTATGGTTGCATTTCATTTTTTAAGCGAACGTTATGGGGCGATATAAGGTCGTTCCTTTTCGCGATTATCAGCTGATCGCTTACCTCCGTGTGGAGGACTTTCCCACCGCAATCAGTTTGTCCAGTTCGCTCGTCGTGTACGTCAGCGGATTTGAGATGCAGGGAGTCGCTGACTACGACGATGACCGTGTTAGAGTCCAGGGAAATGTGGTTCCAGAAATTAGGTAAGAGAAATACAAAATCTACAAAAAATAAAACTAACAAAATCATAACAGGGTGAGAATGTGGTAAAATCTGAAAATGCGGTCAAAATCAGACGAGTGTTTTTCTTTTTCTGGACGGCTTTTGTAAATTGTTAATTGGTTTTAGGGAAGTAAGCGGGTGGGCGGGTCAATCGGTAAAATTGGTTGGGTTTAGGGAAGGAGGAGGATGGGTCAGCCGATTGGCCGGTCGCCCAGTCAATCATTCAGCCTGTCAGACAGACGGTCGTTCTACAATGGCCTCTGGTGGGTTTACGCGAGAACAGCGCGGGCGCAAACGGCATTCGCAAGAGACACTTGAGATACGAAAAAGCGCACACGGAGGCCTCTCGCGGATTCGCAAAAACAAAAGCTGCAAAAATACGTACCTCCCAGTACCTTCTCCAGAAACGTCCACGGGACTACGTTTCCAGAATGAGCCTGGGTTGCTTTCATGGATTTAGTACCAGTGTTGAGGCAAAGAACGAAAGAAAACAGAAAATACAGAACAATACCATTGATGGATGGCCATTCCACACATTTCCAAGGGCGACCTATCACACAACCACCCTGAGGCAAAGCCAAATGGGCAGTTGGACCCCAGTCCGGCTTTCGAGACTGTCAAATACGTTGGGCCAAACATTGCGGCTGACCCTTCCTACCCCCAACACAGAGTTGTAGCTGCTTGGAAATGGCAGAAATAGGCTACATACCAGGCTAGGAACTTTACATAACCATTGCGAGGAACACCTTGAAAAGGCAGTGGATGGGATTAGGGGACTGTGGTTAGGTCACAGGGGGCCATGACTCTTTTGAACAGTTCCTGAGATAGATGGAGATCCTGGTGGATCCCTCACAATCGGTATCACTCCCACAGAGGCCCTTCACAATCATGAGGAGGGTCTCTCCACACCAACACCAGTGTGCAGCATCCACTTGGATGATGTGACGGCAGCCACAGGACAACAGCTATTGATGGAGAGAGACAGTGATGGGGATGATTGGGAGGACATGATTATAAGCGCCAGTTGAGGGACTTTGGCCAAGACATCGGGGATACACCCCTACTCTTTTCCCGAAAATCGCCATGAGAATTTTACGAAAGTCAGGACCTTGGTATTGTTCTATCTCCCGGAAAACTCCCGGAATTCCACCCCCAGTCCCTCAGCCTTTTGGTACAGTCCCCATGTGTGCCGAACCCAAAATGCAACCATCTTCACATCTGCTTTCCGCTCTTCACTTCGTGCGCACCACATCCCCCGCTTTACACTTCACGCCCCCCAAACCCCCCTCCCCCACTTCGCACGCACCCCCAGATAAAGTCTCCCAGATGTTTTTATCCGAATGTTGGCAGGTATGCAAGTGTGTGGTTTTATAAAATAAATATATGATATAGACATAACCCTTTGATCAAGGTACATACTTGCCAGTACATCAAGTTTCAAGACGTGTCCAATGATGCTATTATGGTTTTATAGATGTACTACGACATTATCTGATATCTTTGCTGTACCAGGTTTTACCACATTTTGTTTGCCATACACAAGGCGACTCTGAGAGATGGACATTAATGAACTACAGACGCTCCTCGACATGTTGTTTGGCATTTATAAATACAGAAGGTTTCTAGCTCCAAATGTAGTTTTTCAGATATGCACTGACAATTGGCATATGATTTAATGATGATGCGCAGGACACGTTTATTACAGCAGACTTTGGACTGAAAGTGTGAGGAAATGTCAGGCCACAGCACTCATGATGGTTCATTTGTCCAACAAAGTCTTCACTAAGCATAACGTTTGGATAAATGTTGACTTTGACTTTACAGTCCAATAAAGATTTACTTTGCAATCTTGTAATACAGCATTATTTTACTTGTGTATGTGTGCGCTGTGTTTTGCTTCCAGTGGTGCCAATGGGTGTAAAGTCACAAGCACAAATCGTGAAATAACATTTTCTCCAAATGAATTGGATTTGTGAACTAAAAATATAGTAGGCGAGAAACGCAACATTTTATATTCACCAGTATTTATAACTTTTTAATAATTAATCACAGGACTGACCCTCATGAAAAGTACAACCGTGAACATCACCCATGTCAATAGCATTGACAACAACATTACTGCTGCCCTCCGGATAGCCAAGTATCACATAGACAAGTCTGACTGTCCACATGAGCCACTGTGACGGGCTGGGCAGCGCTAACCAGGCTGGCAGAGCCAGTGCTACTGGCACCATCAGAGCAATCGCTGACATGCCAGCGGAGGGGCAGCTCAGGAGGAGAGTACTCACCCCGGGAAGCAGAGCGGCCTGAGGAAGATCTGAAGATAAGAGACCGTCTTACCTTCTTGGATCCCACAACGAGGTTGGAATGAGAGAAAGTAGACCCTTCTCTTCCACTCTGGGAGCCTGTGGCGATATGGCCTGGTGAAAATTTAGGTATCCCCGGCCCAGAGGCCAGCAGTGATGTTGTTCTCAATGTTATTGACATGGGTAATGGTCCTCGGCCCTCCCCCGAAGAAAGGAAGACTCTTCTTCTTCGTCTTTAGACCTAGTTGGTCTGCAGAAAGATCCATTCAAGCCACTCGACTTAGCATCCTTAAAAATTCTGTCCATGAGGACAGCTCTGCTGATCTTGTTGGCATCGATCAAGAGAGTCGGGAATTTGGAGGCATTTTCGATCAGTGAATTGTGCCTGGAATTTAGCCCGGCTATGTGCCCAAGGTTCCTACCACTCCATTTAGAGATCAAGTGGTAAACCTGCAAGCGCTGCCCGCGGAGGAGCAGTCCCAGCCCTTTCAATGCTTTGTCTCGTTCGTGTTTTGTTCGGTCCTCTGTGGCCCCCAGCACCTGACTCAGCAGAGGCGCCGGGGAATGGCCCAGTATGATGTCTGGTATGCCTGTTTGGTCTACCCACATGCTGGAGTTCAGTGCCAGCTATGCTTGGTCACCGATGGCAATCCCACTGGCTAAATTCAGCCACGAGTGTTCCCCCTTCTCGGGCGGACCCGTAACTTACCACTTACCAGATTAACATATGTTCATGGATAGGGCTAGTGCATATGTTCCTATTGCTATCAAGGTTCCCCTTGTTTGGGTAGCAGGTGGGGTCCACAGCGTTCTCTTCTTTCGGGGACTGGCACCCTTTCCCAATGTACTATCACATTTCTAAAAATCCCAAGACTACTTTAGCTAGGTAAACTTACCACACTTACGACCGTCGATCTAAATTCTTCTTAAGTATTCCCATGTAATGGTAAATAAAGGGCCTAGGGGACGTTGGAAAGTTGCGCCCTTGGTGATGCTTGTGCGCTCACGCTGTGCTTGGCAAACTTTACATCAGCGGTGTGACAGGCTTAGCTGCTGTGGCATTTTCCATACACTCTCCAGACACAAGTAGGAGTTCTCATGAGGAAGAACATCTTAGTTACAAACGTAACCGTCGTTCCCCGAATAGGGAATGGAGAAGTGTGTCTCCGATGCCACAGCAGCTGTGTCTCCAACTGTTAGCAGAGTGATCAGCTAGCTATCTGCAACTCCCACATGGTCACCCACTGAAGCCTGGTCAGTACCTGGATGGGAGACCACATGGGAAAGCTAGGTTGATGTCGGAAGTGGTGTTAGTGATGCCAGTAGGGGGCGCCCAATCTGCGGTCTATGTGGGTCCTAATGCCCCAGTATAATGAAGGGGACGCTATACTGCTCAGTGAGCGCTGTCTTTCGGATAAGACATTAAACCGAGGTCCTGACTCTCTGTGGTCGTTAAAAATCCCAGGATGTAGGGGTTTCCCCCGGCATCCTAGCCAAATTTGCCCACTGGCCTCTGTCTATCATGGCCTCCTAACCATCCCCATATCATAATTGGCTTCATCACTCTGTCTCCTCTCCACCAATCAGCTGGTGTGTGGTCTGGCGCAATACGCCTACCATCGCGTCATCTAAGTGGATGCTGCACACTGGTGGTGGATGAGGAGATTCCCCTCTATGTGTAAAG